TAAGTTAGATTACTTATTTGAGCTTTTTTTTTTTTTTTTTTTTTTTGAGATAAGCCTGTAATGTTATCATTTCCCTCTTAGGGTTGCTTCCCCAAAGTACCACAGATTTTGGATTGTTTGTGCCCTCATCTTCATTTGTTTCAAGGTATATATTGATTTCTTCCTTGATCTTATTGTTAACCCATTCATTGTTTAATGACATATTATTTAGCTTCCATGTGTTTGTGTGTTTTTCATTGTTCTTGTGATTGATATCATATTTCATAGCATTGTGGCCAGAGAAGATGCTTGATATGATTTCAGTCTTCTTAAACATTGAGATTTGTTTTGTGTCCTAACATGTTGTCTGTCCTAGAATACATTACATGTGCACTTGAAAATTATATATATTCTGCTGATTTGGGGTGAAATGGTCTGAAGATATCAATTAAACCCATTTATTCTAGTGTGTCATTTAAGGCCACTTCCTGCCTTTTGGTTTTCTTTGCGGAAGATCGAGCCATCGAAGTCAATGGGGTGTTCAAAATCCCCGACTATCACTGTATTTCTGTCGGTCTCTCCCTTCACGTCCATCAAGATTTGTTTCACATAGTTAGGTGCTCCTATGTTGGGTGCATAAATGTTTACCAGGGTTATAGTCTCCTGTTGGGTTGTTCTCTTTATCATTATGTAGTATCTTTTCTTGTCTCTTATTAAAGTCTTGGTTTTAAAGTCTATTTTGTCAGATATAAGTACTGCTATCCTAGCTTTTATCCCCTTTCCATTTGCATGCAATATCTTTTTTCAACCCTTTACTTTTAGATTGTATGTATCTTCTGAACTGAGGAGTATCTCTTGGAGGCAGCATATATATGGGTTTTGTTTTCGTATCCATTCAGACACTGCATGTGTTGTGGTTGGAGCATTTAAACACTCACATTTTAGGTGATTATTGACAGATACATATTTAGTGCCATTTTACTGTTAGACTATTTTCCTTCTTTCTTTATTTCTTCTTCTTTTTAAAACATACTCTTTAACACTTGTTGTGGTAATGATCTCTTGTTAACAAACTCGTTTACCTTTTTATTTCTCTTTATGTTTTAAATGATAGCCTTCTTGGTAAAGTAACCTTGGTTGTAGGTCCTTGGTTTTCTTCATCTTGGATATTTCATATCACTCCCTTCTGCCTGAAATGTTTCTGTTGAGAAATCAGGTGAGAGTCTAATTGTTGCTCCCATGTACATAACTACCTGCTTATCTCTTGAGACTTTTAGAATTCATTCCCTGTCTTTAAGCCTTGCCATTTTAATTATGATGTGTCTTGGTGCAGGCCTCTTTGTGTCCAGCTTGTTTAGGACTATTGGAGCTTCCTGGACTTATGTGCCTTTTCCCTTCACCTGATTAGGGAAATTTTCAGTCATTATTTCTTCAAATAGGCTCTCAATCCTTTGGTCACTCTCTTCTCCTCTGGTATTCCCATGATGTAGATGTTGTTATGCTTTACGTTCTCCACAATGTTTCTTAAGCTCTCCTCATTTTAAAAAAATTCTCTTTTCTTTTTCCTGCTCTGCCTAGGTGTTTTCTTCCACTTTGTCTTTCACGTCATTGATTCGATCCTCTGCTTCATCTAACCTAACTGTTTATTCCTTCCAATGTATTCTTTATTTCAGGTATTGCATGCTTTATTTCTGACTGGTCCTTTTTTATGGTTTCTATGTCTTTTTTCATGCTGTTGAATATCCTTATAATCATTACTTTAAATCCTCTACCTGATAAACTGCTTGCTGCCATTTCATCCAGTTCTTTTTCTGGAGAGTTCTCCTGTTCTTTCATTTGGGGTTTATTTCTTGTCTTCCCATTTTGGCTTCCTCTTTGCATTTGTTTCTTTGTACTAGTTATATCCACAAAGACTCTGGTACATGTCTTTGTCAGACGCTCCTTGTGACTGGCCCCGGGGCAACCAGTTTGGTACTATCAGTGATCCACAGCTTGTGGCTCTCTCTGCTGGGCTTAAGTGTATTTAGAAAGAACAAGACTTCACAAGAAACCTGGTTTTTATCAGCACCAAGCCTGGATACGGGTCAGCTAAATTGTCAGAGCTCCCAGATAGCTACCTTAGTAGTTAAATTGGTACAACTTCGATATGTATTCAGCAGCCTGGTTTAAGCGTCAAAGGGTAGGTCAGAGAAATTCCTGTGGGCGGGGCTGTTGCTTCCCCTCAGGCTGATGCCACCTGGAGGGGACTGCTCTGCCTAAGATGGCTTCTGCACCGTGGGGGATGGCTCAGCACAGGGCTGGTCCTTCAGTTCTCTCCTCGGAACCACCAAAAAAAGACTCTACTCAAGCATTTCTAATCCACTCTGCCCTCCCTATACTGGAGCAGTTAATTGGGGGCAAACAAAATTTTGTGTCGGCACTTTAAGACACTCTCTGTGTCTCTAGCAGTCTATCCCTGGCAGACAGAAACACTGCTATTTTCACAGCTGGATAGGACCTGAGTTCCTTTCTTGACTCTGGTGCTGTAGCTGTGGCGCTCAGCTCAGGGTTTAGACCCCACACTTCTCAAGGGGATCCTCCAGCCACTGAAATAGCCCTCTGGCACTTCAGCTGTAACCTGTGGGAGCCCAACTAGCCCTCTGGCGCCTCCTCCACACTCCCTATTAGTCACACTGTGGTGAAGTGCTTTCTTCTGTCTGTGTTTGTGTTATACTGCAGCTAGGAATGAGCGGTGAGAGGGAAAATAAACACAAGGCCCACACCATTACCATCTAACAAAGAACTTAACATAGGAGGCTAAATGCAAAGGAAGATATATTTTATGCTTTGACCCAGGAGTCCCAAGCCTGGTTTGACAAGACTGACAGGCATTCTGAACAACACCAGCAAAACTATGGTAGAGCGGGGCGGCAGGGCAGCCCTTGAAAGTCTGTGTTATATCATCGCCACTAGCTGGGGGGAAAAAACCCTTTAGGTTGTGTGTTCATCCCAAGGCTTGGAAGGAGCAAGGGGAGGAGGTCCACAGGGAAGCCCATAAAACAACTTTGGTTAATTGTCTGCTTTCTGTCACGTATGTAAAATGACCAAATAGAGTCTGGAGCAAGATACGGATTCAGGCTAACATACCCCCACACATAACTACATATGTGTAGTCATGTCACCCCAGGAAATCTAACACTACATTTACCTGTAAATCAATATGTAATTTCTTCACCCCCGTTCCACCAACTATATAAGTCCTTGGACAAAAGGACTCGTGGTCTGGCCCTTTGGCTTCTTGGGGTGTCCTTCAACACCCCGTTTCCGGCCAACCTGCTCTTGCCATCCTTGCTGTTCCTCTCCATTAGAACTTAGCACTAATAAACTTTACTTGCACTCTGTTAGGCTTGCTGATGTGTAATGCTTTACTATGTGAGCAAGAAGAACCAAGTTTCTAGCAGTTTTTCTCATGACAATTGATTATAAGGCTTCTCTCCAGCTAGTGCTCAGTTGGTTAGTCAGGATGATTTCTCTACAGTTTTGTTGTAATTCCAGTTTGGTGCTGGGAGACAGTCACTGTAGCTTCCAGTTCGTCTGTTGTTTTGGTCTGGTCTATGCTCATGTTAAGCAACACATGACTGTACACGTTCTACTGTCTGTCTCTCTCACTAGGCTGTAAGTTGCACGAGCTTTGAAGAAAATGCCCGCTTTGTCCCCTGAAGGGGAGCAATATATGCCACTCCAAAGTTTGCCACTTTGGCCTGAGGACTATTTTAAGCGGAAGGAGACTGAGGAGAAGCAGCCACAGGTATCTCCGCTTTTCAAAAGTTCTCTTCGTGCCATTCAGTTTTACAAAAGACTTATGTTAGAACTTGTTTTTGCTCATCGAACGTTTCAAAGAGGGCTTGTGCTTCTGTGCAAAAGGCCAAAAAGAATAGTGTTCCTCTTTTGTTTTGCCCAGTGTCTTTATAGGGGCAGCGCCCTCCCGCAGCAGCTACGCTCCTCCCCCGCTCCGTCCCCGGCAGGCACACTCGGCACCTCCGCGGGACACTGCCAGGCTTTGCACCGCGTCTGTGGGCCTCTCTGCTCTCGCTCCATTTCCTTTGCAAATTGTCCCCTAAGGTAGTTGCCTCTTTGATTTAGGGCACTTTGCCTTAGAAAAGATTTCATAGAAATGCTTTCCTGCTGGATGGGGGTGGGGGCTGTAGAAGAAAAGTTCTGCCCTCTCCCCATCTGCCTAAAGAGCAGGACAGAATTTCCTAAAGGTGTTCCTCCTCCCTCCTCTCTCCAGGCAGAGGGTCTTCACCTGAAACAATTCCAGGTATTTATCAGCCCAGAGTCACTATCAAAGGAATCTACAGTTAAGCTTTGCTAACTAGCAGCTATTTCCTCACATATTTACCTTCCTACAGGTAAATAAATATAGGAAGATAACAGTTTGAGAAACTCAAACTTTTCTTTTACCTTATCACTTGTCTAAAAATTTATGTTCTTTTGTTACGATGTCATATAAGCCCAGATTCTAACCACCTTTTCATGTTACTGATCACTGGGTATTGTTATGTGTATATGAGATGCACATGTTAATAGACTTTTGTTTGTTTTTCTTTTGTTAATCTGTCTTTTCTTAGTCTAATTTATAGGCTTCAGTCAAGAAACCTAAGATGTATAGAGGAAAAAAAATGTCCTTACATCACCATAATATGTTTGGTATCTAGCACTGAAAAGTATTTGTTGATAAAATAAATGAATCGTTTTACTTTATGCAAGTGCAATGCTTTATTTGCAACAAATCTGCTTAACTAATTTTTATTATCTACTATATAACACTCACAGAGAAATGGTCTATATCTCCCTTCCTCTCTTTCACGCAGAAGCATGCATATCCTGTTTCTTTATTTTCTGAATACAAAGTAGTGGTTTATCAGTAGTGAATAATTGCTCAAAAAATACATGTTTCTGAAAGCAGCAAACAGAAAAGGCGATTACTACAAATAAATGTAAAATCAAATAAAATGTGAAAGCAGGCCATATTTCAGCACTTAAGGAACATGTCCCACGGAGTTCTCAAAGCCAGCAGCCAGCCTCAAGGCCTGTTCATAGTACTCCAGGGCTTTGTTCATTTCTCCATTCAATTTGTAGACGAACCCAAGGATGCTCAAGCTTTCTATGTCTGCTGCATTTCTCCGGAGTTTCCTTAAAACCAATTTCTCCAAAGCACTGAGACTTCTATTTTTTGTAATGGACGAGCCGTCTATGTTTATTGCTTTTAAATAATGGATAACTGCATTGTCTTCAGATTTCCTGTGAAATTCTTGAAATCGGCCATAGCGGAAGTGAATCCATTGCTGTAGGTTATTATCATCAAAGACCCCCATGCCCAACAGTTTCTGAAAAGTGTCCTCTGCCTCTCTGTGGTGGCCCAGTTCTGCATGCATCTCAGCAAGGTCAATAGATGCAGTGTGGAATGTGGGCCTTATCTTCAAGGCTGTTTCAAATTTACATACAGCCTTCTGAACTAATCTGTGGATATTTTCTTTATCCTGTCCTCTATGCTGCCAGTTGGTATCGTTCTTTATTTGAATCATTTGTGTCTTGTAGCAAAGCCCTACCTGGTGATGCAGGAGGGCAGAGGACGGTGTTGCCCGCAAAGCTGCATTTAAGAACTGAAGAGCTTTATCTACAGAGCCTTTTCTTCGGTAAAATTTGGCTGCATATCGAAGCACGTAGGTTTGAGAGGACTTGCTGCTCAGTGCTTCTTCAATGTACTTTTCCCCTTCAGCTTCTTGTCCGATATCCTGAAACGTCAGGGCAAGGAGAGCCTTCATATATGCATCTTCTGGATTTAGTCTGATGGCCCGTTTTAGGATGTGCAGACAAAATGTCTTGTCAGTCTGCGGTGCTGTGTTGAATCCTTCCAGACGATACACAGCAATGGCATACCCTGTGTTGAATTCTGGGTTTTCAGGGTCCACCCCCAGAGCCTTTTCAAAGCAGGCTTTAGCCCGTTCATAATTCTTTCCTCCACATTTCAGCAAGGCCCATCCTTCCTCACAGTCCATCTCTGGACTCTCCACTGTGTAGCAGGAGGGACTGGCAAGCTGCTTGCAAGTGTTCTCTACCTTGTCCAGGTAAATCTGGGCTTCTGCCAGCCTGCCCATGTGGTAATACAGCCAGGCATAGTTGCCCCAGGTTACCAGCCTTCTCACGTCCGATTGTCTGGCGTGTTCTGTCTGGACTAAGTCTTCAGCTGCTTGCAAGCTCTGCAGGGCTTCCTTATTCTGGCCTGTCAGGTGTTTCACATAGGCCTGGAGGTTGTGTATCGCCACATTAAATTTTGTGTCTAGGAAATCAATTTCATCGAAGACCCTGTTTTCTAAATCAGGCACTTCAGCGTCTTTAATTTGCAACTTCCATGTAAAGTGACATCTCAGTTGAACAAGTCTATCTTCAATGAGATTCCCATTTGATTCATCACTGTAAAAATAGACAATAATCATTTTTTCAGGAGCGTTTGACCCAATGGAAATTAGGCAGAACTTTGAATATTCAAATATTACCCCCACATGTTTTTGATCATTTTCTCACTCCTCCCCGGGCTCTGTGATTGTGTCTTAGGACAGAATGCAGGTTGACACACAAACCTTGAAGAAATGCTAATTACCTTATGGTTCCAATATGAAAGTTATGAGAAAGCAACCTGAAGGTGATTAGTCCTTCCCATGTCAAATAATTTCAGCATTACCCTCAATGTTGCAGAAACCTTTTCTCTTGTCCCTTCTCAGCATTGTAGAAAACCATTAACGTTATCTGAAGAAATGTGAAGGTTCACAGAAGGGTAGGTTCTTTACTCATCTTTTCCATATTCTCAACATATAAATATGCTTTGGTTTTCTTACTCCCAGGAAGGGTTCTGAGCAAAATATGAGAGCCTAATATTGTTTTGAAAGATGGGTTTCATAAATGCTTAACCTAGGGTGGAGAATGTGGTACCATCCTGATGTCTATGCCTGAATGAACTTAACCAATTCCAGAGAGATTGAAAAGTGGGTAGAACCACCTCACAGAGACAAACTTACTGTACACGCATGGGTCAGAAGTAGGGGAATGAATGAACATTGCATGAGGTTAGATGTGTCTATGCAAGGAAGCAGTAAGTCCTATTTTTCAAATTCAATGAGCTTTATGTCAGGCAATCCTGTAGCATAGTTATTAACATGTACTCAAAATCTCAACAATTATAGTGATCTTAGCTACCAATGGGGAAAGGAGAATAATAATGAGTCAGTGGGACAAGACATTTTTCTTTCCAGTATTTCATCCTCCTGTGAAATAGAACTGAAGTTCTATTCTTCCTCCAAGAACATGGGAGGAGAGAAATAAATGTCTCTAATACTTGAGAAAGTCATCCTCACATCTTACGTAGGTATATTTGCATCTGTGCCTTCAACCGATCACTTTATACTCTATACTTAACATCTATTCCACCCATTAGTCCCCAAGGAAAGATCCCAAAGGGAGCCTTATGAAATTTTTTTTTATTCCAATGGATAGAAATTTTTATATAAATCTTACCACCCTGACTCAATATCTGACCATAATCTAATAACAAAGCGGATTATGAAACATCCTTTTTTGAAAATAAAGGAAGAGAAAAAAAATTCACAAATCCAGGTGAGCAGAGGAGTCTAAGGCTCACTCTGCAAATATGGCTGGCAGCTTAGTAAAGCTCTCTCATTTTCCCCCAAGTCTTACTTCAAATACTCCTCACACTGACAAGGCCTAAGAGATGATGTCCTGTGTGAGTCTGTTCTTGCTTAAATGCATAACTGAGTGTTTGACCACTCAAGTGAGAACACGCAGTGGCCTTCCTTTTCATGACCTAACTGTGGTCAAGAAACGTTACCCAGTGAAGTGTACATGTAGGTGCGTGCGTGTGCGCATGCATCGTATTGGAAGGGGTGAGATTAGGGGTGCGTAAAATCAACATGGTTCCTAAGAATGCTCACCGAAAACACTTACCACCTCCAAAGGAAATAAAATCAGGAAGAGCTTTTAACCCAAATGCTCCACTTCTGCCCACTGCAGTCCATGGTATGATGAGGACAGACATTGAGCCAGGAAGCTTATTCACACAAAGTGACATGGCCTGAGAGAGCTGCTAGAATATTTGTGTATGAACCATCCAGGTTTTCTGGGTTTTTTTAAATTAATTTATTTTCAATTATAACTGACATACAGTATTATATTAATTTCAGATGTGTAACATAGTGACTCAACATTTGTATACCTTATGAAGTGGTCAGCACAAAAAGTCTAGTAGTCACTTGTCGCTGTACAGAGTTATTACAATGTTATTGACTCTGTTCCCTATGCTGTACATTATATCCCCATGACTTAAACATGTACCCCAATCTCTGCATTTCTGCCCAGCCAGAGCCTTTGTGAGAAGTCAAAAAGCTGGGTGATCTAATTATGGCCAGGGTGCCATGCATTAACAGGTGGAAATTATACTGTATTTCAGCCTTCTCCAGGACTGCAGAGCTTCAAGTGCACAACTTGAACAACCTTACAGGGCTGCCCTGGAACCTTCCAGAAGAGAATTTTTGTTCTTCCCTCTAGGTGGTTATTCATCAACATGTCATCTTTTACCTTGTTCGAGGCTTGGGCCCTGGAAAGACTATGGAGTAGAATGTCATCACAGAGGTATCTCACTGTCTAAAATAGGGATGTTGAGAACCTAAAGTCCTCCTGTTACCTAGTGAGCACACAGAATATACTGTCATTTGTAGTGTAAGTACTATTATCAAATTACAAGTATGTGCGTGTAATTTGCCCTCAAAACCCCTGACTTTATTTATAAAAATGTGTATTTATTCTCACATGTTCAAACTTCAGTCACCTTCAAAGTACTCTCCATCTGATGCAATATACCTACTGAGATGTTTTCCCACTGCTCCAAACAGTTTTTGTACTCATTGATTTTGATGCTTCTTAGTGCTTCTGCTGTTTTTTGTTTGACTTCTTCCACATAGGCAAAATGTTTCCCTTTGAGGACATTTTTCATTCAGGAAAACAAACAAACAAAAAAAAACGTTGCACAAGGTGAGATTGGGTGAATAAGGAGGGTGGGACATGGAGGTCATGCCATTTTTGGTCAAAAACTGCCGAATGCTCATAAATCACCATTATGAAATAGACAAATGCATTGAAAAGGTCTTCAAAAAAAGTTTGCTGAAGCCAAACACAGCCTCTCACAACAACACCAGCTGGCCCACTGATACAGATGGGTTCCCAGAACAGATACAGATAGGGGAAGCCTGTACTCCAAGGGGGCTGCCCTACAGAAAATGACTCCATGTTGGGGGGGGTCCCCCCTCGTACGTGGCAGATACACATTTTAATATGGGTTTTATTCAGTGTAGGATAGTCCAAAGCACCCTTAGGCTGCCTTATGTCAGGTGGTTCTACAAACATAACTATAGGCCACTGCAAAATGACTTAGAGAGCCTCACTCCTAGGGCTGGGGGAAAGGGAGGACTTGCTTTCTGTCAGCCCTATAGGTACAGACATCGCTAACATCAGTTTATGACCAGCAGTTAGTTATATTCAAAAGAGAGACTTGGTTACTCTAATGACAAACTCCATTGAAATCCCTCACTTGCAATCTTTTCACGGGACAGGTATAAGTATAGATGTGCACTGGAGAAGGAGTCCCGAAGGAGGGTCCCCTTTTCCTGCAAGCTCTTCCTCTCCCACCAACTGCAATGGCAGATGGGATTACTGCTGCAGTGAGAAAACTTTGGAACACAATATATTTGCCAGTTCTAACCAAACCAGAAATGAAAGGAACATGTACTCTTTGGAACAAAAACATCACAACACTGATAAGATTTCTTACTTTCTAACACCTAGCAGAGAGGCCGAGTGGCTTCTCAAATTTGAGCTTGCATCGTGATCACCTGGAAGACTTATAACACACAGATTGAGGCCCTCTCTCCCCTCCACCCTGAATTTGAGACCTGGGAATCTGCATTTAAAACAAATTCCCAAATGATGGGGATGCTCATGATCAGGAGACCACACTGAGAACAGCTGATTTAGCGAAGAGCAAATTTCCTAGTAATCACAATTGCATAGTTTCATGGTAATCACGAGGCTTTGCATCAATAAGAACAGAAAAATGACCATTGTAAAAGTAGCTGTTTCTCCTTTCCACCTGGAGATAACCAATGTTGCCTGAAAGAATCTAAATGCTGACTGGTCCCCACGCCGGTCTCCCTCTAGGCCCAGGCCTCTGTTATCTGGTGAACATTCTTTCTCTCAGTGTCCCTGGGAAACAGTCATGCATTTAGAGTGCTACACAAATGACTGTTTCGGAATTAAGATAGCGCTCTCACTGATTCTCTTAAGAGCACTGCTGCTCTTACTGAGCAAGCTCGGTGACGGGGCAGTTAGGAAATGTGCCTCTGTGCATAACGTCCATCTCACCTCTCTAGGCCTACCCTCCTACATTCTTTCCTGCGCTGTTTGCTCTCGGAAATGGACAGGATGGATTTCATTATCGGGACCTCTTTAATTGTTGACTTCCTTTTGGGTTTGGCCCACTGGCAGGCATCAGCCAGAAGTTAGAGCCCAGAAGGAGGGGAAGTTCAGGGTCTTAATTCCGAAATTCCCAATGTGCCAGGCTTTGGGTTGTCAGTGGTTGAGTGTTGCACCAAAAGCTTCTTGAGAAGCACTTCCCTACAGGTACAGCTGAGGGTCTGAACAGGCCTGGTGACTGCTTGCTCCCTTCTCCTGTCCTTGTGGGCCTAGAGGTGGTAACACTGTTGGGAGGCTCTGGGTTCAGTGCCATCTTCTGCTGATTTCTCACTCTGTCTTAAACAGCCCTCTTATTAAACTCTCCTCAGTTACCAGGTTATTATGAGTGCCTGTCAGAGTCAGAGGCATGAGTGAATTAGCTCCCCTGGAGCTAAGAACTGGTCCTTTAGGAAAGTCGGGGAATTTTAAAAGTCACAGGAACAAGATCAACAAAGCAGAGAAAGTCTTTACCTCATGGTGCCACAAAGCCACAGGCGCGGTGCTCAGGAGGAGAAGGGGCTGCCTGGAGATTTGGTCCCCACAGTTCTAACTCTTCTCAGATAAGCACAGTATTTATATATGGGAGCTATACCTAGGCGATTTTGCACTCCCTGAAGACCCAATAAGATTGGCAGGTCTCCATCCTGGTGAAAATGGATCTTAGAAAGGGGGGCTGTCTCTGCTTCGATCAGGAGTACATGCTCAGCTTTGGCAATTGGGAGGATGTTGGTGAGAAGCAGTTTTGTTGTGCAAACTCTCTATAGCAAATTCAATGTTGGCATAGAGCACAGAGAATACCTGGACCTTATGATAACTTCAGTATTGAGGAAAGATCAATGGGAGACAGAGATCTAGATTTTTGTGTGACATGTCCAATTCTTGTCTAGTCTGTAACTGTCAATAATGTACCCCTTGATGT